CCTTCTTGAAAAGTGTTGAACGACAGACGTTCCAGGGAGAACTAATCTCATCTTTGTTTCCTTATCTTCAGTTTGTCCCATTCTGAAAAGGGCAGACTCTTGTGGAGTTTTGAGGCATAAAGTTTTCACATTAGTTTTGTGTTCATGCCAGTGTACAGTTAGAAAAAATAGCTCCCATTCTCTGCTGACTGCCAAGAAGGTATCACTTTCTAAGTTGCATGTCAACGTTTGATATTTATTGGATAAAACATCTGTCCCGATTCTTCAGTTTCCTGGCTCCTGTTGTGATTTTATTTATATTGAATTTCCCCTAATCCTTTCTTTACCATTAATTTTTTTGGGGGGGAAGGGCTTGTATTTCCAAGACCTAACTCAGTCCTTTAGTTAAATATTCAGGCAGCCCTTAATAATTTATTCATCACATCTATTATCAAGAAATTTTCAAGAATTAGTAAAAGTGAAAACGTCGTGTTTTGTCAGAGGGGGAGTCTGCATGAACCTGAACAATCCAACTGTGCAGTGAATGAGCTTTTAGATGTAGCTCTCATCATGTCATGTATGTGGCAGAGTAAAGCAACACATATGCTTAGGTCAGCAATCTGTAGTCAAAAGAACTTACAACACCATGTGTGTACAGACCATTTAGAGCCTAAGGCTGAATTACATGTGTGTCCCACCTTTGTTTTTCTCTCTTGATTTTTTTTTTTTTACTTAAACTTATTTAATCCAAAGGATACATATTTATTGATTTTTATCTTCAGTTACCTTTTGTGTCTGTGTAAGGTTCTACATTTATTTTATGATGTAAATGGCAGGGAGAAAATAGTCTGACTCAGAGATTTAAGCATCAGGATCAAATTCTAGAAAGACAGCTTAGGGGAGAAAATGATTTCCTAGTAGATCAACCCCTGATGCTTCAGCTCGATCTAGAAGGAAATCTAAGAAAGCAAATAGACTTAGATTTTAAAAAGTAGCTCACTTTGAGAATGAAGTTCATGGTTCCTCAGTGCTGTGACAACTCTCTTGTCCTTCCCTCTCTTTGGGCTCCAAATTGAACAGAATCCTTCTTTTGTATGAAACATAAATAAATCTGTCTAAATCACTATCAACACAGTGCAGTATTAAATTTAAACCGAAATGCACAGCAAGTATGCTGATCCCTGAATTGGGATCAGAATATCTGATGGTTTCCTAGATTACAGAGAAAATGGTGATCCTGCAGGCTGCTATCCTTATGAAGGACAGCTGGTCTTGTAGTGCTTATTTTAGCCATCAGAAAATAAGAGTAACACAAAGGCTTTAATTACATATAAATGCAGAATTTGTCATATTTGATCCTGCTGTATTAAAATTTACCTTCAAAAGACTTATGAATAAAAAAGCATTTCCCAGGCAAATTGCTGGGACATCTGAATTTAGATGTCTAGTGTATATAAGCACCCTCATATTTCCCATAAATTCCCTAGAAGCCATGAGGTGCATCTGATTCTCCTTTTTGACTAGACAGTAAGGATACAGTTTTCTCTGTGGAAATGCTAGTGAGAATTTGAAAGTAATAAAACATATTTGCTGGGGCTGGCACTGTAGCGTGGAAGGTTAAGCCTCTGCCTGCAGTGCTAGCATCCCATATGGGCACTGGTTCGGGTTGCAGCTGCTCCACTTCTGATCCAGCTCCCTGCTATTGCACCTAGGAAAGCAGTGGAAGATGGCCCAATTGCTTGGGCCCCTGCACCCACGTGGGAAACCTGGAAGAAGTTCCTGGCTCCTGGCTTCCTTTGGATCCTTGAGGTCATTTGGGTTGGGGAGTGAACTAGAGGATAGAAGACTTTCTTTTTCCCTCCCTAATTCTCTCTCTCTCTAGAGAGAGAGAGATAGGTAGATAGATATACAGACAGATTGATTTATTTTGCCTTTCAAATAAAATATTGATAAAACCTATATTTGTTAATGTACACTTTACTTTAGGCTGGGGTTACACTGTATCCATGCAAGTCTGTTCAACTGGGATGATATACCTTATCTGCCATCTTTCTGTCGTTTCATAGAGATTTCAGAACATTGAAAAGACCATTAGTATACAAGATAGATTTATATATAAGCTGATCATTCTTTTTTAAAAATATTTTCATTTATTTGAGAGGGTTACACACAGAGCTAGAGAGAGACAGAGAGGGAGAGAAAAAGAGGGAGAGAGAAGAGAAAGAGATCTTCCATCTGCTGGTTCACCCCCCAAATGGCTACAATGGCCAGGGCTGGGCCAGGCCAGAGCCAGGAGCCAGATGCCAGGAGCCAGGAGCTTCCTTCAGGTCTCCCACATGGGTACAGGCACCCAAGTAATTAGGTAATCTTTTACTGCTTTTCCCAGGCCACTAGCAGGAAACTGGACCACATGTAGGACTGCCAGGGCATGAGCCGGCACCCATATGGGCTGTGGGCATCGCAGATGGCAGCTTAACCCACTACACCATGATGCTGGCCCCCTTGATTATTTCTCATGTTCTTCCTAAGTTAGCTTTGGCAAAGTGTTGCAGATTACTCTAGCAGTCATTTCAAGTGGTGAAGTATATAGGGTATGGTTTGTGCAAATAACATTACAAATGTTTCTTCACTGGAACATTTAGACTGCAATTAGGGAAAGCATCATATTTTATAAGTTGGCAAAAGTTGCCAGGTCTTTAATTCTAGGACTTCTCTCACTATATTCATGAGCACATCTTGCTACTTGAGCCATCATGCTTCCTCAGCCTATCACTCTCCTCACTGTTCTTCATTTTTTTTATATATGTCAGGGGTTGGACAATTTGTTCATTCTTGCCCTTCAGTGTCATGTAATTGGATAAGACTTTTTAGACATGCAATTTTATGTATCAGATCTTGACTTTTGAGGTCAATATTTTGTGGAAAAAATCATGGCTCTGGAGCCAGAGAGAGCTGGCCATGGATTCCAGTGCTATTATTTCATTAGCTGTGTGACCCTAGGCAAGTTATTTAACCTTACTTAGCTCCATTTTCCTCTCTCCATTGTGGAGATAATATCTTCTTGTCTTGAAGGAAATCATAAAGAGTAAGTAAGATTACACATGTAACATGCCTTGCATCAATCACTAACAATTGCCTATTTGGATTACTGATTACTTTCTGTAATAAGTAAGTAACTTGATTAACTCTTTCTTCCACCAGATTATCTCTAATGAATCACATGTTCATTTATAGACAAGCTGTACTTGAGTCTAAGAAAAAGAATTTGTGTGTATTCAATACTGTGACATGCATATACTTCCCTTTTTTAAAAAAATTATATATTTATTTTGGCAGACATAGAGAGAGAGAGAGAGAGAGAGAGAATCTTCATCCACTGGTTCATTCCACCAAATGCTGCAGAAGCCAGGAGCCAAGTGCTTTATCTGGGTCCCCAAAAATTTGGGCCTTCTGTTGCTTTCCCAAGTGCATTAGCAGGGACCTGGATTCAAAGTGGAATAGCCGGGGCATTAATCAATGCCCATATGGATGCCAGTGTCACAGGTGGTGGCTTAACTCACTGTCCACAATACCAGCCCCCACTTTTTTTTACTACAAAAAATTTACTCTTCCACTTTCCTTTAAAACCCATATCAAAATCTTCCTGAATTGCCATTACTTGGAAAATGTCCTTGAGTTAGTGTTAGCTCTGATGCCCTTACAGTGTCATGTTTTGAACATTTTACAGCATATCTTCAAGTGATTTTGTTACATCTGACTTCCTCCTGCCTTTGATGTATACCTCCATTCTGCCATTAGTGACTAATTCCTCACTTGGATTTTCTAAATAACTCTTCTCTCCTAGTGTGCACAGAAAAGGTTTCTACATCTGTGTTTCTGCCAAAATCACCCCAGAGTTAAACCTGAACCCTCAGTTTGAGGGCGATTGAAGAAAGAGTTGCAGCTCTAACAGATTTCATAGAGCAGGAAGTATCTGTGGGGGACTTGGTCACCCAGGTCGCAGAGACCTTGATGCTCCTAAGAAGCAATATTGTGGAAGAAAATGTCTTCTTTATAATAAGCAGTAGGACAGCCTGGTAAAAATTGGCACATTGTGTTTAATCTGTGGAGAGCACCACTTTCTTGAAAATAATTCTCTTGAGTTGGTCAGAAACATCTTGGATTTCATTTTTCCTTCTCCACGCTATAGTTAACCCATAGGAGAAGATAGATATGTCCCAGAGTGTCATAGAGCAATAGATCCAACAGAGGGAGGACTGTTAAGGAAGGACTCCTAATATCTTTGAAACTTAGTAGATTTATTTTATTTTTTTTAAGATTTTATTTATGTATTTGACAGGAAGATTTACAGATAGTGAGAGAGTCTTCCATTGGTTCACTCCCCAAGTAGCCGCAACGGCCAGAACTGTGCTGATCCGAAGCCAGGGGCCAGATGTTTCCTCCCGGTCTCCCACGCGGGTGCAGGAGCCCAAGGACTTGGGCCATCCTCCACTGCTTTCCCAGGCCACAGCAGAGAGCTGGACTGGAAGAGAAGCAACCAGGACTAGAACTGGTGCCCATATGGGATGCCAGTGCCGCAGGCAGAGGATTAACCTAGTGTGCCACAGAGCTGGCCCCTGAAACATAGTAGATTTAAAGCAAAGGCATTCATTTAGGTTGCCCCCTTAGGATACTATGCATTGCCAATTTCAGCATTCAGAGTTGGATAGTGTCTACTGACTCCCAAATCCTGAAGCAGATACTGTGCAATTTTTTATGTCCAGACAATAGCTGTATGAGTGAAATTATCATCAATTAGTGGATGAGAAAACAGAGACTTAGAGAGGTTAAATGGACCTGTGGCCACACAGTTATTAAGTGATCCTTTCTCTTCAGATCTACATCTCTCCTTTTTACTGTGTTATTTCGCTTTATTTTAGGTTTCCATTTTAAACTAGAGAAAAGCTCCCAGAGAGTTAATTACAGTGGATATAAAAAAAGGAATTCAAATTAGTAATATCATTATCTCTCTCCATTTCTAGTTTGTGTGAAGCAGGTAACCGATGAAGCATCTTCCACTCGAGATTCAAGCCTTACTAACACAGCAGTGCAAAGCAAGTTAGTGTCTTCCTTTCAGCAACACACCAAAAAGGCTCTTAAACAGGTAAGGTAGCCAGCATTCGTCCTTTGTCCTTCAATTCTACCTGCTTAAGGCAGTGGGTGTCCTGCTGATCAAGTAAAATATATAAGACCTCAGCAATCAGAAAGCAATAGATAGAGATATCGTGAATTCAACCACTTCCATATTATGCAATCCAGTAGTTTTAATCTGTGCTAAAAAGCCAGGAGAGCTTTGACTAAGAACTTTGATATAAAACAGAGGAGGAAATATGTGCTTGGAAACATATAAAATTTGTTTTAAACTTGTGTATGTGTGTATGTGTGTTTGAGACACAGAGAGAGAAACATTTATAGTAAACCTATTAGGTTCATATTATATTGCATATTTTGAAAATAAAGTTTATATTCTCATATTTATATGATGTTATAAAGTTTCTTATTACTGAGATGAATTCAGGTAAAAGAAGGAAATAATAAGCGTGGTGTATGTCTAGAATATCCATCAGGACTATATGTGTGTATGTATGTATTGTGTTAAGAGTCTGAGGTAAGAGAGGATAGAGTGTTGCCATCTGCTGGTTCACTCTCCAAATGCCCATGATAACCAGGGCTAATGCTCTCAGGATTGTACCTTTAAAATAAATTAAATCTGTTCTTTTATATTAATAAACATAAAAACTATCAAAAAACAACAGAGAATCCAGGAGTCCTGAACTCAATCCAAGTCTCCCTTATGGTTGGCAGGAATCCAACTTGAACGATCACCTGCTGCCTCCCAGGGTCTGCCTCAGCTAGGAGCTGGAGTCAGGAGCTTGAGACGGGTATCTGAAAGGGGACCCGAGTGTCTTAACCACCAGCTCCTAGTGACAGTTGTATGATGCTGAATCACGATAACTTTGTAGGATCATCCCAGTGGTAACTTTGCAATAAAAAGCTGTCTTGATCTGGGTGGCCTTACTCTGAGATGGTGATGTAAGGTTAGAGTGTGGGTGCTAATGTACCCTGCTTTGAATCCTTGTCACTCTGTGATTTGGGGCCGACCAGCTTGCCTCTCTGAATTTCAAGCTCCTTTAGCAAATGTGGAAAATGATAGTATCATGCACATGTGATTATCTGAGAAGTAATTGAGGTTATACATTGAAAGCGTATCATGGAGTGAGTATCTGGACCGTGATAATCACTCAATACATCACTCAGTAGCTCTGCTCTCCCACCACACTTGCAGAATAGTGCTGGGATGGAAAGAAGAGATGCTGTGCTTAGCCCGGGCCATTGCGTATGGCAGCAGTAGTAGTCCTGTCCACAAATGGAAGGCTATATGTTTTCCCCTAACTTCATGATTTTCCCTTGTTTAACTGATTTCCTCTGGCATTTTCATCTTGATCCTCTGCCATAAACCCCCTTCACCCATCCTAATTGGGCCCAGCAATAGAGGGACATATTTATAACAAGGAAAAGAGAAATAATGTTTCAATTCATTAGTTAATTAAAAATTTATTAATTATTTAAAAAAGAAAAGACTCACCAAACTCTTTAGCTCCTTAATATTCAAATTCAATCCCCTCGATATAAAATATTTCTACCTAACTTCTCCCCTAGCTCCAGGAAGTGTAGGAATGCATCACTTTTGTGCTCAATTTTCTTCCCTTTCTACTCTGCATTCATTGTTAACACTGCAGCACTTCTTTTCATTGGTATTGTATTTTAAGTGATAAAAATATTTTCTCCTGAATAGGTCAAGTAATCTTTGGGGAGATTGTCATTTGGCTTTTGGGAAATGGCTTAGATGCCAGAGAACAAAGCTGAATCAGTGTTGAGATTTTTTTAATTGATGAAATAAAGGATTTGTGTAGGTGAAGAACCCTGGACAAAGGCTCATTCAGGCAGCTAATAGGATGCAGGTAATAAAATACTAACCAGGATAGAATAAAAGATACACAACTGGACACTTGTAGCTGTGGCATTTAAGAGACGTAAATGGGATCATAAATGAAACTCTCATTTCTGAAGTGCAGTGATTTGGAAAATGTGCAAACTGAAGTCTTCCTGAATATGAGTGGAAAGATTCCAGTCCTTGTATTGTTAAGTGTCTCTCTCTCTCTCTCTCTCATTTGCTTCCTTTTGGATCCCTATCATTTGAATACTTTTTATAGTTACTAAAATGTTACACAGCTTAGAGTTAGCATTTTTGTTTTGGGAAAGCAGTGAGTTCGTGGAAAGTGCCACTTACTTGCTATGGTCTAAACCTTGTTTTAAGAAGTCTGTCCTGTAAGCTTCTTAATGTCCTGAAAGAGTTATTTTATTCGTTTCTTAAAATTTCTATTTTATAACCAAGTAGCAAATTAGTTGCCAAGGGAATGGCTCAATATATAGAAGATATGCTAATGTTTCATTAATTATCCAATTCATATTGTAAATACATTTAGAAGAGCTTGTAGAATTTTGACCAGATTCCCTATAATTGCTGGATTTCTTAAGGCAGCATTTTAAAAATTGAGTATATGGCGTTTTAAATTGTAGCAGCCTCAGCAAATCTGCAGCTTTCTTTTCTTTTGGATAGTTGAATGGCCATAAGCATGCAGAATTCATTATGGATGCATTATATCCATATATAATATGCCCATTTATATGAATACATGTTCTATATCTGTGAAATGTTTGGTGTGGTATATACATATGTACAAGTCATAGTCATTCAGCCCTAGGACCAGCTGAATTAAGTTAATAATAATTACATTGGCTGATATAAACATTATGCTTTTCATTTTACATGTGGCATACCATTTAATTCTTATGCAAGTTCTTTGGCATGTTTCCATTTTAAAAATTGTTTATTTTCATCTTACCAATAGAGAGTGAAAGAGCAAGAGAGAGCAAGAGCGCATGCACAAGAGAGAGAGAGCGAGAGAGAGAGAGGTGCCAAATGCCTGCAACAGCCAAAGCTAGACCAGGCTGAAGCTGGGAGTCAGAAACTCCCACATAGGTTTTCCATGCGGGTGTGCTTCAAGAAGCTGGATTAAAAGCAGAGTTGGGACTGAAACCCGGTTGCTCCAATATGTGATACAGGTATCCCAAGTGGCATCTTTACTGCTGTGCCAAAGGCCCTCTTCAGTATTTCCTTTTTTTTATTTTATTTTTATTTATTTATTTTGACCTGCAGAGTGGACAGTGAGAGAGAGAGACAGAGAGAAAGGTCTTCCTTTGCCGTTGGTTCACCCTCCAGTGGCCACCACGGTGGTGCGATGCGGCCGGCACACCACGCTGATCCGATGGCAGGAGCCAGGTACTTATCCTGGTCTCCCATGGGGTGCAGGGCCCAAGCACCTGGGCCATCCTCCACTGCACTCCCTGGCCACAGCAGAGAGCTGGCCTGGAAGAGGGGCAACCGGGACAGAATCCGGCGCCCCGACCAGGACTAGAACCCAGTGTGCCGGCGCTGCAAGGCAGAGGATTAGCCTAGTGAGCCGCTGTGCCAGCCTCAGTATTTCCTTTTTAAAGATAAGAAATAAAGGACCAGGGAAGTTAGATAACTTTCCAAAGATCACCCAGCAGTTAAATATTGGAAATGACATTTAAATATAGTATCATAGTTTCAGATTCTAGCATTTTAACCAATACTGCATTTCAGCATATGTTATGTAATAGGGTACTACATTTTTGACACTATCCAAGGAAATTTATCGACTTGAGTCTTTGTATAGCATAAAGAAAACAGAAAGGTACAGTCGTTATCAATGTGGATTGCTTATGTTCAGTGCCAGCACACACTAACACCACACACTCAAATATATTAGCCATTGTGATAATTTTCTAATGTATTAGAGAAACAGCGTGCTCCCATCTACTGATTTACTTCCTGAATGCCTGGGCAGGGGCTGAAGCTGGGAGCCAGGAACAATCCAGAACTACTGTGTCGTGGCAGGAACACAACTACTTGAGCCATTGCTATTGCTTCCCAGGGTGTGCAATGGCTGGAAGTTGGGGCCAGGAGTTGGTGATCAAACCTGGGTATTCTAATGTGGTAAACAATAGCTTAACTGCTAGGCTAAGCACAAGCTCCCTGCTGTTATTATTTTATTAGAAATATATTCTCTTTTCAGTATAACATTAGTAGTCTAACTGTATATTGCCCAGTATAGATTCTTAGAAAGAGGTAAATTAAAAAACAAACAAACAAAATACCTAAAAACACAATAGCTTTGTATTCTTTAGTAAAAATAATAAATTTTTAAGAATTTACTGGCATAATAAGGAAGATACAATTTCCCATATCTGAGGCCTCAAACCTATACCCCCAACTAATTCCTGTTGCTATGGAGGGTGGGTTTTTTGCCTTCACAAAACAATTGAAAATGATATAATTACAGGCTGGACAGCATAGATGCTGTGATGCCCCTTGGTTATTGATGTACAATATCTTCCATGCACTCAAATTTTTTGGTTGCTGATACTTTCTAATCATCAAACATAAGTTAGCATCTTATGTTGGGTGTAATTTCATTAATAATAATATGTAGTCATTTCAATGGGGATTTGTGTATTTATCTATTTGTCCTGAATAAACATTGTCAGAAAGTCCTGGGGAGCTGCAGATTGTTGGTTTTTACCTGATTCCTTGTTTTTCTGCCTTGGTATTTTAGTTGTCATGATCCTAAAAATGTGAAATGATTAGGTTTTGAATTTTGAAGAAGGCTAGTTTTCTTAAAGAAAGAATATATTCTGGAAGTTTGTAACAAAAAATAAAATGCAAGATTAGAGAAGGAGAGTCCTGTTATGCCAAGTAATACGATAGTGAACATAACCTTTCTATGTTGCTTCTATTGGTTTATTGACTTTGCTCATTATTTATTTAGGGTGGTAGGATTTATTCATAAAGTTGCAGATCCTTTTCCTTCATGACACTGATAAACAGATATATTCTAGATATTTTACTGTAGGTTTGATGTTTGACCAGTATTGTGTAATTCCAAAGGTTATGTTGCATGATAGCCGTTTTTGAGCGTGGGCGTTGACATTTAGTGTCATAACAGTAATGCAATTGTT